GAGTTCTAGGAATTGTATTGATTAAACATTGCTGTATTTTAGGCTCTTGGAATTAGACTTAAGTTTCTCAGTCAATGCTACAATGAAGCAGATGGTGGGATTAAGGAAGACATTTTCCTAGAGTTTGCCATCGCCATTATCAGCCACAGTTTAGGGTAACTTATTGAATTCTTTCTCTGGAATTAATTCATAGTTAGTCGTGCTTATTCAAAAATTGACAGTAAGATTCTTGAAGGATGCGTTTACTGAGTGACATGATTTGAGATTTGTAAAAAGTCACTTTTAACCTAATTCAAATCACCATTTTAGAATCATYGAAGAAAAAGATCCAGACTTATATGGATACGATGAACAAGTAAAACATATTTTACAAGAGGTAACTAATTAAAAAAAAAAATTTTTATCAACCTCCAGATTTGTTACTATTCAAAAGTTTTTTCTTTCTTCATTTTTAGATTCTAAAGTTTTGGTCAATGCACAAGCTTCCTCAACAAGATCTAGAAAACATTTTGAGTGTACACTTAGAGAAAATTGCTTACCCATTGAGTCTTCTCATCATAAGGTACAGAGTGGATATTATAATCTCTTAGTAGTGAAGTTGATTTTGCAATTGAAAACTGCTAAGATTTATCTAAGGCATACATACTTCAGGCAGATATATTCTTTGAAATAACCACTGATTTTTTCTGCATTATATACACAATTTAATCTTTTTTAAAAGTTAATGTAAGTTATAACTTGTTTTATCCATTGTTTTCCCTAGAAACTCTGTGTTTGATCAACAAGAACAATCTGCATCTAGTCCTGTACACAATGAATTTCAAGAGTTGTCATTCAGTGGGGAATTTTTAACTTGTGTTGTGCAACTTGTGTCTAACAGTATCAACTCTGGTAGCATCTTTGAGGAATACAATGGGGACTTGTCTGCACTGTTATCTGAATCAGAAATGCTGCAAAATGAAGCTAATAAAGTAGAATTTACATTTGGAAGTACAGAAGATGAAAACTCGGTGACGTCTAGCCAGTTACTTCAAGGAATCATGGAAAACTTACAAAAAGACTTAGAAAAATGCACAAGCATTTCACTTTCCACTACAACTGCAGCAACAATTGCTGCTGCCGCAGTTTCACAGCARAGAGAAGTACAGCGAGGCAGACTTAAAGGGTTAGACAATAACTATGGACCAGATGTGGTTGTTTTTACTTGTAATCACCAATTTCCTAGAGTATATTTCATGGAAAATATTTTACCTGAGTTTCAGCAGCGTATGTCTGAGCTGCTCATTCCACTAGTTAARACAACAAAGGCTCTGGTCACACACTACAAGAAGTCTGAGTCAAACCTGCTTGCTGCATGTCCTGTGTGTGTATATAATTCMCTAAGATCTGAACAATTAGAGAAAGCTTCTGACAATGATATAATTATAACAAATGGAATTAAATCAAAACCCTGGGATGTATAACAAATTGAGAATTATCAGAAAAATAATTATTAACAGATTATTAGGAAAAGGTTGCCTCTGAGCTCATAGTTCATGAGCAGCCAAACCCTCAAGGTAGGCTGGAAACTTTCAAAACCAGGTGCCTAGAGATTTTGTAAGTGAAACGTTCTTAACTATTTTTATTGGCCCTAAAGGCTAGCGTATCAAATGTAGACAAAACCTTAGTTTTAGTTATTTTTTCCTGTATTTCTTCCTGATAATTTTAGTACGATATCCCAAGGCAAGAGTTGGTTTTCATTATGCCAAAATTTCAGTAGAAAAAAAAATATTGAATTTTTTCAAAGATTAACATATTTCTATACTCAGATCTTTCAAAGTTTCTAGAGAAAGAGTAAATAATCAAAGATWACTATTTTATAATATTAATTTATTTTTTATTGATAGTTTTATACACAAATCATTTTTACAAAATCATGTGAAATTATTGCTGTCTAGTTCTCACAAATATTATTGTACTTTGACATGAATTAAAAATAAATCATCACATAAAGCACTGTAACCACTTATCAATGTAATCTAACATGTGTAAAAGCCTCCATCATGTTTTCGTGAGTATCCTCCATTTGTTGAGGCACTGTGATGACTCTCTGTGAAGGAATATAGTTTTAAATCAATATAATGAAGTAGACCATGATCCTAATGGAAAATGGCAGTATAAAGGCCGCTTTAGACGGTACAACTTTTGCCTATAACTATCGCATGCAAGCCATCCTTACAATGGTTAAGCCATCCTTACAACATGGCTACATTACTGTCGTAGAGATTAAAAATAATTGTTTGATAACCCTACGACAGTTGTAGCCATGTTGTAAGGATGACTTACGCAGGTTGCATGCAATAGTTGTATGCACAATTTGCACCGTCTAAATCGGCCATAACTGGTTTAAAATATCTGTACTGTCCGAACTGTCCTTTCTCTTTTCCAGCAATTCAGTTCAGCTTGTGTAAGGCTAGAGTCCATTTATTTTATTAGAGAAAAATTTTGTAAGAAATTGCACTTAACGTCACTTAGTAATACTAAATGGTAAGACAAAGGCTATCCAGTGTGATTAGTGAAATTTTCTTACAAAATGTTTCTCTGATGTTATGTCGAATGCATTCCACCAAACCTCAAGTTACAAGAGGTGTTGTTTATATGTCAGTGAATTCTTTGTTTGTTAATAACAAAATATTTTATTGCTTTACCAATGGCTCCATTAATACTATGAACACTTTCTCTCTTGACGGCTGAGCTGCGGTTTAGTGGTAGCTTGTAAATGTCAATCGGTGCCTCTGGAGGAGGTGGTCGATTCTTAAGAACTCGTCTGCAAATAACACATTGAATCAACTCATAATACTGCTATAGTTATTTTCACTTTAAGATKTTARCAGGAAAGAATTCATGAATTTGATCATGTCAAAAACTCACCCATGGGGGCCTCCCACAGTTTCTGGTTGAACAAGGGTCTCGGCAGATGATTTCAAGAATTCTGCGTGATTGTCGTAAGTTGATTTGATTACAAAGTCCAGACTGTCCCGTGGTGCCTAAAACAATAGAAGCGCATTAGGAAGTACTGCGGCGACGCGCGTGGTAAGCTGTTTTGTTCAAGCTTTGATTTTGATTTACATGGAAAATACCTGGGGGTCGTTATGGAACACTTCTCGCCTCAAACTGCTTAGCGTAGCTGTCTTGTATAGTCTGTCCCACTGCTCTCCCTTATAAGAGCTCGTTTGTACTGGGTTTATCTATAGATAAAGGCACAATTTCATCATTCAAGTGCGTTAAAAGAAGCCAAGCCAAGCTAGTTAAGTTAAGCTTAACTATTGCTAGTAAAATCACAGAAAATACATGTTATTTCTTAGAGGATTGTTTATACTTTCAGTATAAAGACCTTATCCTTTGTACAAGAGTATTAAAGATTTCAGATTTTAAAACATGGTATTCAAACGCTATAAGCTTACATTTAGTTCAATGAACTCAGAAATCTCATTGAAAACAGCTGATTTTCACGCTATTTTTGAAAKTATTTCAACAATACCTGCTTAGCTTCCGATCCTGCGAAGTCTGTATCATTTTGGAGTCTTGGGAAAGGATAGGGGTCGCGTGGCATGGTGAAAAAGAGAGAAAAAATCCGCAAACCGAGAAGAGATCAAAAGACAACAACACACTGACAACAACTGAGTGATTCAACTAAAATGCCGTAACCATAGGAACGTTGTAATCGAAAMCTTACACCCAAAATGCACTGCGAGATTATAAYAACCCAGAAGACCTTGCGATCSARSATAATTACCCASAGTTCTTTTCGGCGACAAGACGACTTGTGTCATGGCCGAACACGTGTAGAAGATAAATGATGATTCTTGTTGCTTTCTCGCCCTCGTTCTAGCATTAGAGTAGTGWATTGAGGAGAATTAGWCCCCATAGCCATCATGGGGGTTCAAGCCCTGCAAGACTATGTTGAATCCCATTGTGCAAAAGCATGTCAACTTGTAGAAATGAAAGATTTTGTAAAGGAACGTAAGGCTAGTGGCTTGGAAGCAGTTCTTGTGGTCGACGCGTTCAGTTGTGTGCGATACTTGTACGGATATAATTCAGACTGGGTTTGCGGAGGACAATGGAGCGAAATGCTAAGAAATGTTGAGAACTTTGTGCGCTCTTTTCGTCAACATAATATACAAATCGTAGCTTTCCTAGCTGGCGAAGGGGAATCAGCTCGCATTTTCGACTGGATCAAATCWCARGAACAAAATAGACAGACCGTGCACAAAGTACTAAATCACGTWAATCGCCAGGCAAATTTCCCGCCTAAAAGACTATTCTTTCTTCCACCTGCAGCTAAAATGTGTCTGCGTYTAGCGTTTCGAAGCTGCGGAGTATCTGTATGTTGCTCATTCAAAGACTTGCATCAAGAACTTGTTTCTTACTGCAGGGATGGGAAATGTTGTGGATTAATTGGTCATGACTCTGCCTACCTCTTACTWAACCCGCCAGCTTACCTCTCGTCAGAGCAGCTAACCGTTAACAAGAAGAATCTAACATTAAAGCATTTCGATTTGAAYATGGTATTCGGTGAAATGGGTCTCAAGCCTTCGCGCCTTGGTTTGTTTGCAAGTCTATTAGGGACTTCATTCATTTCTGAAGAAGCTCTTGCGCCCTTTCACTGGGCACTGATTGGATCTGAAAAGCCAGCATCTAAGAATCAGGTTTGTGCATTTTAACAACTTTTTGTAGTGTATAACACACCATGAATTTAGAAAATTATTGCAGTAAATGACAAATATATGGATATAACGTTAGTTCTTAGCAACGTATTGTTAATATTTCTCAAAGCCTTTGATATCACGTAAAAATGGTCATTAGGTAATGAAAATTTTCATGGTACTGATAAGAGGTACTAAATTATTGTAGAGTAATCAACAAAGTCAAAATCYCAACTGTATAACAAAGGGAGGGGAGAGAGGGGATGGACAGCAGTCTGATCAGTCTTGACCTTAACCTTGAATGGATTTTAAGACATTTTGTCAATAAAGACTGTGGAATGGCTGATAATCTGATTATTTCTTAGTCTGCTTATTAAGAAAGCATTGTATTTGCCTTTTATCGAGTAATTCCTCTTTTATCACAAACTATTGTTCATAATCTATGTTTGGACGTTTGTTGTTTTAGTATTGTTACTTCTCTAAATAGTTCTTGATATCATGAGAGTTACGTTAGGGAAATAAAAGACCAAAGAGTAGTTATTCGATAATGTTTTGATTGGTGCATGCTTATGATTTGATTGGTACATGCTTGTTTATGTTTAAGCAATCCCTGAACATGGCTTTCYTTATCCCAAAATTCAATATATCTTATGAAAAAAACAAACCAACAAAAATATATATATTTGTGGTATACTTTAACACTGATATATTTTATAATAATAATTAGTTTTTTCTCCTTTATTGTGTAAAAAATAATATAAACATTTTGAATTGTTTTGGTTGTTGAATATAAAATGTCTTTCTAGTCATTTACCTGTCAGATACATGTTTATGTCTTGCAATATCTTGCCTTGAGGCAAACCAAGATGCAACATTAGTCTTTGTTGTGCTTATTTAAAACATATCTGTATATTTGTGGCAACATTTTGCACAATTTAGTACTAAGTTTGTCATGATTGTATTATTTGCACTCTCTTAGGATAACTTATAATAAATCAGTATTATAAATGACTTTTTTTTGTACTCCAGACAAATGGTCAATCTGTACTTCCACCAAACAATGTCGTTATTAGAAAGATGGTGGAATATGTCAATCAAATAGCAGATATCACAAACTTCACATGGATAATTGCACAAGTTTTCAAAGATAGCAATGTTGATCTGAATTCCATGGAACAAGCCTTAAGACAATCTGTACAGTACTACAATGGTAATCGTGTCGTTAATGGTGAGTATTTAAACGTTTTTTGTTTGTTTTTTTAATTTTCCTATTAGTTATCTTTCTTATTTAGTGTATAAATAGGAAAATGAATGTGTGGTGCATAAAACATGCTACTTTTTTCAAAGATGGCTAAACTGAGAAGCATTGTACAGATTGAAAATACCGTTGACATGAAACAATGTAGCTAACTATCTCAGGTTTAACTGTGCTTGTCAACAGTGTGTAAAAAAAAAACAGTTATGTCAGCAACATTTAGTCCTTTCATAGCTATAGCTGATTTACGAGTTTCGTCTCAGTAGTCAAACACAAAAGAATAAAGACGAGGCACCGTGCATAAAGCTCAGTCATTCTTGAAAAGACAATAGTTTTTCACAATTGACTGAGCTAAACGCACAGTCACAAGTCAGCTATTGTATTACATTTTGTTAACAGTACGCACTATTCAGTTTATCGTATCCACTATTTTTTATTCATGACTGTATATTGTTCTTATTTAGATGAAAAAAGYGAGCAACAGTACGCCAAAGGCAAGGACGAGCACCTGTACAAGAAAAGATGGCAACACTGGCAGCAACATCAAATGAATTCTCAACCTCTTATCAATGCTCAAACTGAAGTAAGTTGACAGTCTGTTCTCATTCATTTATATAAAGGTAGAAACAATTCAGAGAGTGATGGTTGTTGTAAATTCTTTCTAAGTTAATAAATATATAGCTGTTTCAAAAAAGGTTGTCGGATAAAATGGCGAATGTGAATGGTCGAACGGCGATTGCACGACCGAAAGTAGCCATGGGTTTTGCTAGTTGAAAGGCAATAACAACTGATTTGTACTGTAAGATTTTCTGTGGTAAACATTGGCTCCTTTTAGTCTCCATTTCTATGTAAGGTGAATCCAATAGTGAAATTTTGTTTATCAAAACAGTGTAACAATGGTCCCTTTCTGTCGTGCAATCTCCCTTTGACAATTGCCGTTTGTCGTTCTCCCTGACAACATTTTTTGAAATAGCTGTATACCAATAGTAGTAAAAAGAATTTATTGTATATTATTAATAATGTATTAATSTTATTAGGAAACTAATGGTAAAGACCATGAATATGAAGACATAGATAAACTACAAGAGAATTTTCAACAATTAAGTGTAGAGAACAATGGTGTTAGTGAGCTTGCCTCACCATCCAGTCCCCCCAGAGAGTCCAACATGGCCGAAACAGTAGCAGCGTCACCATTATTTCAGGGTGAGATGTTGTCACCTCCTTTGTGTTTCCCTACACCACCCCCCTCAGTAGAAGGTTCACCAATGCCTGTCAAAGAGCAAGCAGCTAAAGTAGCAGAGCCGGGTAAGATGGCTCCTTTTTATAAAGTAAAGTGATTTTCATTAGACTGTGMATTAAAGTGCCACTTACATGAAAATGGCCTTATTTCAAATATATTTATGCAATACAAATGTATGACTCATTTATATCTATTAAAAACAATTACGKGAAARTATTTGCTTTGGAATTATCCTACATCAGAGAAATTTTGATTCAAAAGATGGAAGAACAAAAGGATGGAGTAAATGACATCATCTACTCCAACATTTGTATCAATATCTTCTTGAAATCTGTTGCTTCGTGATTATTAGACCCATATGGATAGTTCTATTTGATTTTCAAGTCTTTTCTAATGTTTCGCAATTTTYGTCCAAGTAGCCCTTTAAAAGCTTCTTGTTGGTCTGTAAGAGTCATTCCAAATAAAGAGTGTATTGTCTGCTAACTCCTGTTAGCATATTCTATTGCTATTTCACAGTCAAGTAAAAATCACTGTATTTCAACAAATTCCAGACCTTGTTATGTATATTCATGAAAAGAAAACATTTACTTTTAGGTTCTTAATTCTGTTTTATGCTTACAATGCAATGTTGCAGTTTTTTGTTGCGTTTTCAGAGCTGTGGAAAAAGAACATTTTTTTCTGGGATGAACATTGTAGAACAGACTTTTGAATTAACACTTAACCTCAATATCAGTAAACTAATAGGATTTTTTGGTTGATTTGGTTTTGTAGTTACTGTCAACMCACAGCCTCTAAAAGGAGTAATAAATACCATAACACCAGAAGTCCTTGAAATAGTAAAACAGCGACATCAAGCTGGACAGATGAATGAATATGTTTACCAAGCAATAACAAAAGCAGAGATCACTGTTGGAGCTGCCTTGGAAGACGAGCACAATGTTGACTTCCAGCCCTCGCCGCTGCTATATCGCCCTATCAGACAACATGTATATGGAATATTGTTTGATAAGAAAGCCTATGAGAAAAAGGAAGGAAAACACGACCCGCCACCTGCAGTAAAGGAATGGTGTGTATACCGTGGTGAAAAGCTAGACAAGTATGACTTGGTAGAGGGTGTTAGTATGAAATGGAATATACCAGAGCTGCACCAGTTGTGGTTTGGTGAAGCACAGTGCGATAACTTRAACCGCATGAAAGCATTTTTGACATGTATGCAGAGTGATACGCCGCACATCATCAAAACAACAATGGTTCCACAGAGACTCATTATCATGTGTTGTGTGTTAAGGTACTTCATATTTTCCTGTTTATGTGTAGTTCTTTTTGTTTCTCTTATACTGGTGAAGAGAACTTGGCAATGTTAATTTTTCTGTCACTGGAAGAGCACAGAATATCTTTGTGCCAAAAATACATCAAGARTGTGAATGATCCTGTACGCAGTCTAATTAATCCAGGACAACAAAAATCAGCCATTCTTACGAGTTGAGGACAACCTCCAAATATAAAACAAAATATTACGAGAACTTAGAGACTTAAAGATTTGTGTCTGTAAAGTATCTGTAATGTAGTAATAGTGTTCAGCGTTCTATCCCTGCCTAATTTGTTATATCAGTCTTGCTTTTGGTTTTGTCAGCAAATGATTTGAATCAACCAGTTCTTTTTCATTATTTCATACATGTACAGCCTTTTGCAAAAATTATGAGAATTGTTGAAATATCTAAATTTCATAATATCAAGTGCATGATGGGTAATCCCGGGCGATGCCCTTAGTCCCTTGTCTTTGTAGTTTAGTTTTTTTTGGCGACGGACTTATCCGTAGTTCTGAACATTTTCTCGATGTCAACAATGAATTATTCTAGCAAACCCGCGTGTTCCGGACAATATATGGATATGGATATTATGATATTTAGATATTTCGACAATTCTCATAATTTTTGCAAAAGGATGTATATAAACATATATACACTAAAAAAACTTAATGGACATAATTGTTTTTCTTTGCCAGATATCTTATCCAACAAGGGAAACCAGGCCAGCCTGTCATTCATTCTCATGAACTGGACACCTTTCTTGCCGCTGCTCTGTCACCTCACATCAGCTCCGAGTTCAACCCAGCAAACCTCAGCCARCTGAAACTGATGCGTGTGGAARTCMGGGGGGTGCAGCTTGCATCTGTTTTTATGCAGGGTGTGCAAGCCGCAGCCTTTGCCAATGATGCATGTGGGTGCCCTGTTCCTTGGGAGCTTGTCTGTCCGTGGAATTACTTTGATGGGAAGTTATTCATGTCTAAGTACCTCCAGGCTGTAAATGATCTGTCCTTGCTGGAAATGTGCGATGGAAAGGTAGGAAATAAACTGTGTTATGCATTATGTAGTCCATGACTCATCTAATAAACATAATTGCTAGCGTAAATCAACGTAATTGCTGATATAAAGTCATTACTGTCGTAAATCAACGTGATTATTATCRTAAATCAACGTAATTACTAACGTATATTAACGTAATTACGCACGTATATTAAAATAATGTACGGTAATAAGTTACGGATGATTCGCGGGACACTAATGAATGACTTTGAGCTGGTTGTTATTAAAGCAATCGGAGGCCATTTTGGAATTAGACATACTAAAGACTAATGTGAAATACTTTACTACCACCAACCCAGCTGCCAGGACAACAAGTGAAAACTAGCAATTTAGCTTTCTTGAATTAAAATGTAGTGACCGTCTTTTCTTTTTTTCCCAGAATGCAAGGCTGGAGAAGCTACAAAGAATGCGCTGGTGTATAACTGACGGGGTCCCCCCGGAGCTGCTTGGTGTAAGACTTCCCATGTCTGGATTCCATGGTATGGGAATGCCAGGTCCTCCAAACATGCCACCATTCTTTGGTGTACCACCCAACATGCCAGGAATGCATGGTTACTGTATTCCAGCCGGTGCCAGGATTCCTCAACAGATACCACTAACTGAACGACCCCGTGCAAGGGGTATTAGCAGCAAACGCCCGGTATCAGGTCTCGGCGGAACCCTGGAAGTTGCTGGTGTACCTGTGGCTAACTGGGGAGGAAACAGGGCGGGGMGAGATTACAATGAGCGTAATCGCATTGTCGCTGGTGGTGCTGAAAGTGTAGAGCTTCCTTCACGAGGGCGCAGTCGAGGAGGTCGTGGCGGACGTGGTGGACGTCGAGGAGGTGGAGGTCTTTGGACGAACACAAGGAATGTCACGTGGGCTKTGGAAGTAGATAAGGAKTACGACCGTCGCATTGGTTACAAAGATCCTAATACTCGACCACCWAATATGCATATGATACCAGACCAGAACATGCCACAACATCACATGGGATATGGTAATGACGGACAGATGGTTCAGCACACTCAAGGCTATGGCGCYAATGTACCAAATACAACCATGCCAGACCAACCTGTGCACCCCACCACGCCCTACACTCAACCCCTTGTACAGCAGCCCCCCATGAAYATCCAYATGGTSATGAACCCGCCACCGGCTATCCACAACGAAGACAAAGCTCCATTAGGACATGTCCATATTCTTTCGAAGCCATCAGAAAAGCTCGCAACTCAAGGGCGGGGCAGGGGGATTGCCGCAACACTAAATAATGTTTCAGGGAATGTTAAACCAGGTCCACCCTCAATTGGTCGTGGATTTCTCCTCGAAAAGCCACAGCAATCTCCTGCCACGTGACTTCGATAAACGCGTTGGTCGTGGTTAGTCGGCTTTATTGAACAGTAACAGAGGCATCTTATGCAACTATACGTCTAAAGATTGCTATATCATCTTGTTAGATATGGTAGATCCTATTGTTTTTCCTTAGTAATATTATTGGTGGTAGTACATGAACACTCGATTCTTTATCTTTCAAATATAACAAAATATCCAAATTATATTATAAGTTTTTCAGTATTAAAAGATTACTAGTTCCAGGTTCTTATCCATTTTTCCAAGAGGATAACAGTATGTGTTGTAGAAGTTGCGGAGAAAATGTTCCATAAGTCAGTCTTCTAGAACAAATGATCGTATAAGAGTTTATTTGGTCATTTCATTGATAGGTTAGGGAATTCATTTTTTGCTATTGAAAAAAAATTTAAAGTCTAATTGTTTGTTAATAAAAAAGAATGAAACCGAAGATTATGAAGTTTGTTCTTTGTTTAGGCCGTCCAAAAATATGGACAAAAAACTCGACTTGAAGAGAGCAAAGGGATTGGGAGGGGAAAGATGAAATTCCTCGTATTCAAATCTCGCTTTGATCTCTGAGAATGATTTAAAGAGCTCGAGCATACGGTAAATGTTGAGATGTCTTGGGCGGGGTGCTTGAATTGAGTTCCAACGCAGCTCGTGCAGTAAGTACTCGTAAAAGTTTTGTACCACACGCTGCTGCTATGACGTCACATAACATGGGTTGTGTTTGATGTCATTTTGTAGACCCAAAGGGGCTTATRTAATAAAATAAGGTTTGTTAATCATTTTCATTTAAGACTGAGAAAATTACAATTCTAAACGGGATATATCCGTTGTTTACAACTAGAGCAACCGCAGGAAAACCATGAAAAAACTCAAACTAAATACTAACAAATAGCGWCTAATTAGAGACAATTTGTCAGTATCAATGAAGAACGCAATGAAGATGAAATTCACATAGGATGATTTTTAATTTATCTTTATTGCGTTCTGGTTCATTCATACTGACAAATTTTCTTTAAATAGCCGCTATTTGTGAGTATTTTAGTTTGATTTTATTTCATGGTTTTCCTGCATTTGCTCTATTTTTGGCGGCGAGATTTATTATGATGGATTGTTTTGAATGACCACGGACGTCATTGACTTTAGCATGCTTTGTTTCATAATTCARTGGTATTAGTATTTGACGTCACATTTATGCAAATTTTATTTGAACATCAAATTTGCCGAGCCATGTTCGTTRTACTAAAAGATTGAGCATTTCTTTGATCTTTTGAATCATTGAAAAAAGCTTGAGTCCTGCTTTCTGCTACAATTTATCAGTTTTCAGATCTATGGGATTCCTGTGGCAGTAACGTTATATGACAAGCACGGATTGRGCATTTCGTGAAGTAACGTGGTTGACTCGTTCAGTTTTGTGTGATGTTGCGGCAAATTCACTGCAACATTTTATAACTTACGGTGAAAATGGACAGTTGGCTTATYAYACCACTACAAAATGGATGAAATTCAGCAAAAACACCAAAAAGTTTACAGCTTTTTGAAGCGTGTTCTGTCTCAAGAGCGCTATGAGAGAGTTCGTGCAATCGAACCCTGTGTTATCGTTGCAAATGGWTTCAATAAGGCCTTCAAATTTGTCATTCTGGGAGATGATAGGGTCTATATAACTGAAAACCCACCAAAAGTTTCAAAAGATATTCGCATAATAATCGAGCTTTCCAATGTCACGGATATCCAAATGGTAAGTCTAGAGTGTTTGTTTAAAAACTGTCATTTCTTTGTCATCAAGTCCTGCAACATTTCAGCTACCGGTGTAGACAATTGGCGACTTTTTCGAACATATATATATATATACATTAAATGTAAAGTTATAAAGTACTAATAGATTTTGATATACAACTATAACGTTTAATTGTTTTGAACTAATTTCTGTATCAAGAAAATGTGAAATGCATGGAACAAAATAAAGCGAAAAATCTTTTCCGTGCTGACATTGACATTAGATCATGTGTCCGATTAGTCAAATTGTTAGTAAACCAACATTATTTCCCTTTTAGCATAAAAAAGATTTAAGACACAATTTATAAGATAGTGTAATCCTGCTTAATGTTCGGATTATAGAAGCATTTGGTCGCCTCAGAAATCATTGTTATTACCTATCTGTGATTACTTTGGACTCAAAAAGGACACTAAGAAATCTTAAGAAACGAAATTAATTTTTTTTGTGCCGAAAAATGAATTGTTTACAAGCGGTTTCCTTGGAGCATGACGTCTACGTAATGTTTTATGGATTTTTCAGACAGAGTTTTTTGAATAAAATATTAACCCAGTCTTTCAAATGAACACCTGTACTAACTATACCACCAGCAAACAAATTAATAGCAAGCTTTATTTCAAGCTTTATTTCAATGTTTTGTTTGTTATTTGATCCAGTACCTTCAATAATTATTCTCTTTCGCAGTATTTTTTCAAATTCTTAATGAACTCTGTCCTTTTTCTGCAGCAGAGTTAGCTGTCTGCAGTAATCGGATGCAATATATCGAGATCATTTTAGTAATTCGGTTCGGTTAATTGTAATCATTTTAGCATCCAATGTTTGTTAACTAGAATCTTCGACGTATCCTGTCAAACCATTCCACATCTATAAAAGCAAGAGGTTTGCGATAATGATTYAAGTGTAGACGGATATGAATTGAATGACCATCAAGTGCAAATGTCTGCGTTTTACTAATAACAAAAGACGGAAAGCCAATCAAATGCTAATGGCACAAATCAATAACAAGGCTAGGCGGAGGGATGTAACATGAGGGAGGGGGTGTAGGTATGGTACTCACTATTCCATCTTTATCAAAAGTTATCAAATGATTAGTTTTATTATTAATTAGTTGCCAATCAAATGCTAATGGCACAAATCAATAACAAGGTGTGGATGCAACAGGGGAGGGGGGGGCAGGGATGTAACATGAGGTAGGGAGGGGGGTGTAGGTATGGTACTCACTATTCCATCTTTATCAAAAGTTTTCAGATGATTAGTTTTATTATTGATTTGTTAGTCCAGATCTTTTATTTTATTTTCAGAAAATAATGCACAAAATTTTAATTTCAGTTTGAATATAATATTATGGAACATGTAATGATATTGAAAATAATCATGATGATAATGATACTAGTTCAGATGATGACAGATAAATTACCAGATAAATTACCATCTAATTGTACTCTGAAAATCTCTTTCAGATTCATGATGTTCCAGAGTTTCTWGGTGGAGATCTCAAAAACCAAACGCAGCACATTTTGATCACAYATAGATCTTCAACACCATCGCCTTCAAGTCCAAGAGCTAAAAAATCTACTTCACCAATTCCTGAAGCATCATCAACAGGACTTGCTTCTTCACTCATGACAGCATCAGCATTACTTAGACTAGASTATARTGAYACAGTACAACCAAGCACTTCAGGGTCATGTACTGACAGGACAATGAGAGATGAAGTGGATTTMGTGAGAAAAYTGAACAGCAAGTCAAATAAAATGAGTGTATCTGAAGGAAATATTCCTCAGTTGTTAGAAAAAGAAAGAATTCAAGCTTCACAAACACAAACAGTAAAAAATAACTTCTTATGTGTCCCTGGAGGTAGGCGTCCTCTACCACCACCTCCAGCAGTTTCAACAACAACTTATCTTACTCCTCAACAAAATAGAAAAACAAGACGCAAAAGACATAACAGTCAAGACCTGAATTCCAGCTCAAGCAGTAATGAGTTGGATTTCTCCTCATTCAGAGATGAATTATCCTGTGACAATTCACATGAAGACTTTTCATCATCTCATGATAGTTTAGAAAGTAGAAGGACAACATATTCACATTCAACAAAATCAAGAAGTTTAGATGATACACCGACTTTAGTAGAATCATTGAATTTGAAAGAAGATAGTGTTGTTGGCAGTTCTGATGGAAAAACTGAAGAGCTACACTTGTATATACTAGAACAAGGGTCTCCTATGTTTGTAATGGTAAAAAGTACATGGAATAACTGTATTTTGGTAAGTTTACCAATGCTTATTTGTCTTTATCGTGAAAATTATCTATGAAATACCTATATGCTTCCACTTTGTAAAGTTTTTATTTTCACTAGTAACACATTCAAGGTTTCTCTATATAGTGGAAGTAAGAAAATTGCCACTCGTGAGAGATCTTTTCAACACTCAAAGATAAAATCTGTATCCCCACACATCCTCTATATAAATTGTAAGATAGATTTGTTCTTTTAAAAGTGAGCTCAGTCAAGATTATACTTCAATGGTAAAGAGTATATGCTCATATTTTTGGTCCTTTTTTCAGAAATCTACCTTGCATTATGGAGAAAAAATGTCATCTACAGGGTCAAAAGTTGATAAGTAAGTGATATTATATTGATTAATAAATGAACGAATTAATCAACTGAATTAATGAATTTATTAATTTTTTTTTATATAGTTGAGTTGAATAGGAAAAAATAACATGAAAAAAGGAAGAATAAAGTATCAACTAAATAAAATAAACAACTTCTCTTTTTTTCAGTTCTCAATTGCTGACATTGTTCAACCAGATCAAAGCAGAAATTCTCAATTCCCGCAAAATAGAAAATACATTTGTTCTTATTAATGAGCTGCTCACTGCGGCACAGAAGAGCTTTGCATTAAAAAAATACTTCTGGAAGGTACAACAAAAAATGTATTCTTTATTTTAGGATGCAATAATTGTTAATTTAGTTAGTAAAAATAAATAAATTCTTATGTTTATGTAGTCACCAGAGTTATTTCAGTTCATCGTGGGTCAAATTCAACTCTATCTTCCTCATTCGCCCTCAAGGACTTCAAAACGAAGAGGAAATAATCGCAATGATGAATTTGAGTAAGTGAAAGACCGAGTTCGTTATTTTGTTGGGTTTTTTTTTCCTCATTTATTTGCTTGTTTTATTAGTTTATTTGTGCGTGTTTCTTTTCATTTTTCAGTTTCGTGGTTGTCTTATTGGATTGTTTAGTTTGCATGTTCAGAGAAACCGAAATTTTGATGTCGCGATGGAATGTTCTCAAGGAAAACAAGTGAGTATAAAAAGGAATTTGCGATTGAAAAATGGACKCGCGCGCGCTTCTTTTCGYGCCTTTTTTTGACCAATCAGGTCTTGAATTATGCGGACACTTAAAAGGTTTCCATATCGAAAACCAATCAAAGGCTGGAAGCCTTTCATATGTACGAGCACTCAATTGGCTTACAATGTTTTGAAAAGTCACGCTTTGGTTTGGAGTGAATATAAAGGCGAGCAAAATATATTTTTTCGCAATTTTCTTTCTTTTCACTTATTGAAATGTAAGTTTTTGAAAAAATATTAAGAATTTTGTCATTTTTGCGGCTGTTTTTAGGGGAAAAGCTGTTCAAGATCTACTAGAATGTATTCTTGCAACTCCTACAAAATYTCGTCGATCAGAACCTAAAATATCTCCAGCGGCACAGCTGCTACTGATGGGATCGTCACAAGACATGGAAACAGCAAAAAAAGAAGAGGAGGTACGACGGTTATGGAATTGAAAATTAATGTAATAATTGTAAAATGATTTTTTTTGTCTGTTTTAGACGATTCAGTTGCTGAACGAAATTACGGACTGTTCAACAGCTTTGTTGTTCGAAATTGTACTTACAGCCCATCAGGTAGGGTTGAAAAAACAGTCTTTCCTTCCTCCTTTTTCCTCCCTCTCAACTCCCTGTCTTCCGTCCTCCCTCCCTCTCTTCCTTTTTTTCCCTTCCTTTCTTGACTCTTTTCCCTTCCTTCTTCTTTTCTTTCGTTGCCGCTTCGTCTGACATACTATATATTTGCTATATCATTGGCTTATTGAGGTTAGTACCTTCGTAAAAGCGGAATATCTTTCCTAATGTTAATGTTTTCATTCTTTAGGCCTTAAATTTTGCTGTAGAAAACAATACATTGAACATCTGTTGGCTGGTAAAGATGTTAGACTCTTCGATATCCACAGTACGTACTGACATTGTTTCAATATTTCATTAAATGTGGGGGTCGAGAAAATAAACGGGACGAAAAAAAGGAGATGAAATGGAAATAGTGAAAATTCATAACTATAAAGCAAGAACATGTACTATCAGAAGAAGAATGAAAGAAAAACTAAGAATGAATGGATGGATGATATGTATTATGTTTATTTTCAGGAGGCATTTGTAGAACGAATGATGGAACGAAAAATGGCGATTATTTCCAGCAGTAGGAAGCATCTATCGCCTAAGAATGCAGTCTTGCTGTACCGTCAACTGTACATCTTGCATAATATCATGGATTATAGTGATTTTATGGCTACAGCCATATCTAGATCGTACGCTGAAGAATTCAGGTTCGTWGTAAAGCTAGTTATAGCTTCTGTCAAGTTGTGTTACGTTTGCGCAATCAAAMTCCAAGCTCAAGCATGATGTTGAAGTGAAGAGTATATTACAGACGCGTAGTGTCCGTTACGCATATACGMACGTGCGTACTAGTGGCAAGGAAATATTAMAATGTTCAAAAAAATAACTKAAAAATTCACATAAAATYGATCCCTTTTATATGCCCTCGATGTCTCTCAAAACGCTGTAAATCGCATTTCCAAGAGTTATATTATTTCAAAATTTCTTTRGGGAGATCCAGACTCCCTTAATACTCCTGCCTTTGGCGGTCCCTGACATGTGCGTACTAGGCAAAAAGTCCACGCTACGCGCCTGTATTAAAGATTGAAATGAAGCTAACTTATAATTYGACAATTCATTTGTGATTTTATTAGATACTACATCAAAGCATCGGCTATTAGAAAGAAGCTCCTATCWGAGTATCCCCTGACCACGCCCATCCTGTCACTCTTGGAAAAAGTCACTGCAAAAGTACTAAAGAACAAACCMAGTGTTTCATTCAGTAGATAGTGCCTGGCCTTGTTTATAGAAATGTTAAGAGAGGGAAAAGCCACCAAATGAGTTATGGTTGGAATTCGGTCCTCGGTTAAAGTGCTTGGAGTCTTCCAAGCCAGTATAGTCAGCACTAACCAAACGGACAGTCCACATTACGGAAATCCCATCATTTCAGATAGCCGCTCCAAAGAATTTACTGAAAATRACTGACTTTGCAGTGGAGAACAAATGCGAAACGGTGTCACGCTATAACAAGAGTTGACTGTAATAGAAGTTTTCCTTTGTCAYTGTAGATTATTCTGTATTTACATCGCCAAATATTGCTTTTGGTATAGTTTATATTTTTCTACATTAACTTGTTAATTGTTATATGTGTAATTTATTTATGACAGATGAAAATCTTTAAATCAAAAATGCATTCATTAAGTTTACAAAATGTTAATTCAAAAAATCTCAATTTTCAAAGTTTTGTACAAAGTGAAAAATATAATAAAAAGTATCAAACTCGTATCTTTTACTTGTTTTCTGTCGCTTACTACTTGTTTAAACACTTGTGATCTTCATTTCAGTGTGTTTGTATTTAACAAGAAAGCATACTTTCTATATTTTCTGTTTTTCTTTCAAGTATCGTACGTACCCAGATYGAATTAAGCCGTATCGCATTACGATACGAACCGGCACGATGCGAGCCCGTCTCAAAACAGCTCTYACTATTGCACAATATTCACCTGATTCGAAACCTAGACAGGATGAAAACCTAGTTTYTCGCCTACAAAATGGAGCTTTCTTTRCCTTTCAGAGCTAAATTTTTCATTGTAAGATTTCTTGCTTGGTGTATATGTTTTGKACCCGTATRTGGTAGTACYGTSGTGGTAGTTGTGTYAAGAARTGCKAATCCTTCGGATAGTTTTCGAGTTTTCACCAATTGTTCTTCRAATACTTGCTTGTCGAAGRAAGCTGTYCTRCAGCCAGGCGGACTKCTGCACTGTCRCTGCCGCTGTTTAACGAGCTCGTCGACTTTCGTAGAGCTAGATGATTACGCYGGTTCTAAATGTGTTGACAATGTCGCTCTTCGATCTCAATATGGTGAGCTCATTCAGATTATTATCTCAGAGTTTGTAATACCGTATTTGAACATTTTCTACTATTAACGGGAATAAGATGATACCATTTTGATACATTCTATCTACTCACTTTCATCATATGATACCCCTATCCCCTAGCTCCCTYGGGAATTAGGGGGAATTAACACATTATATCCTAGGAATTTGATACTGATTTAACAGCACCAATCCACAAGGGATTTTAAAAGGTCTAATTAAATTAAAGCACGCGATCGGTTTAGCAACAGTTTTWATCTCTCAGAGCCGGGAAAAGCCGAGATATTTGTGAAATGGGAATTCCTCCCTTATCTACTGTGGGTTTGGTCACGTGGTAACCATTGATTGATGCATGAGATTCTTAGAAAAATTTAACGTTAGATCTTGCTTTGAAAGGACATGCGCATTTAAGCTATTATATTAWATATTTTGCATTCAAAAAATCAAGTTTATGAAATTTATCATTTGCTCGTAAAAGCTAACATTTCGCCTCTCCGAGTCACATAAGGTCATTGTTATTTAGACATACATCATGAGGTTGAAATACGAAAAAGAGAAAATTTTGTTGTTCTTGATGGCGTTCCGGTAGGGTTGTTGTTGCTGCCGTTTGTTGTGTTGTTGCTGTTGTTGTCACTAACCTTTCCTTTATAGTTGTTTTTTCTTTTCCTGCATTCCATCTCAACCTTCAAAAAAACTCCTATTTAACATCATTCTCTTCAGCAAAGTGCAACTACCAGTTATCGCCCAACACACCCAACTCTCCTCTAAGCGCCCTCGATCTAAGCCAACAACAACCATTAAATGTCACCTGGACACCATCAGCACCAATACCCGTTTGTCCAGTTATGGAAGGTCATGGTCAGTACCTGGTAAAAGGAAAATGGTATAGTGGAAGCAATACAACAACCTTTACTCTTGACAACAATGTCTTCAAGGTATTTAAATAGGGATTACAGGTTGAACTAAATTACTAGAAGTGCTTACTATGTATGAGAGCTTTGACCATCGAAAAAAGTCTAATAGTCCAGGTACGAGCATGAAGGAAATTACGATCCATAATCATTGGTCATGACGCATGATGCTCGCATTTGCTATCTCAACCTACATCGCAATCTCGTACCTAGAGACTGCGTTCTCTTTCGGTTGCAGACCAGAACGCAAGCTCTGGGTACGAGATTGCCTACATCTATCCTATATATGGYTCATTCCTTCTCCAAAACAAGAAAAACACCACCCGAAACAGCTGAGAGAAATAATTATAAAGTATGTAAAAAAAGAAAATTAAGATATCAGTTCAACACTAATAGACTTGATATTCTCTAGCGTTTTATTCTACGTTTTTCCCCCTCAGTGGTCAGCAGTAGATCCATCCCACTACCAAGGTCGTGTAGTAAGGGTACAGTTCAGCTGTCAATCACAGACTCATTGTGTCGTCTTCAAAGTCAAAGGAACTGTAACATGTGAGTACAAAGCAAAGCCTCCCCATTACTAGATCGCTAGACGTTTTCGAAATATCTTTGCCAAAAAAAGCTTTTTATGATGATTGAAGTTGATTGGTTGGTTGATTATTGCATGATTGGTTGATTTACTGCAACATTGAATTCATTATAGATATTGTCGATAATTCCCCCACGACTACTATTTCGCCAAGTCCATCTTTACGACCAACATCGCCTTACGCAAGTACACAGACGTTAGTGACGCTTCCAACATCAAAAGGGGTAAGTGTTGTTGTACCGTACATCTTTAACCCTATGTCCAATTTATCATATATAATTATCTATGAAATACCTATATTTYTCCATTTCGTAAAGTTGATATTTTCACTAGTGAAAATAACACATTCAAGGTTTCTATATATAGTGGAAGTAAGAAAAAAAGTATTTCACGACAAAATTTGCTGTCATGTGTAATTATATGATAAACAGAATATTACGAGAGAGATCTTTTCAATACTCGAAGATAAAATCCGTATCTCCGCGTTCCCATGTAATATCCCCTATTTAACCATTTAGGACTTGTTTTAGATCATAATTCCCGTCACATCGACAAAACTCCTGCCAACCCAGGCCACTACAACCGTAACAACATCAAGTACATCCGTTGTTCCTATTGGTGGGACATCGTCCAATCAGGTTCATTCATGTAAACGTGGTACAGGCGTATTCTGTCAGTGGTTGTACGTTGGTTTATCAGTGGCTGGATGTGTTGTTCTWCTGCTTGTGGTGATAGCAGTAGTGTCATTTGCTTGTAAACGTAGGCGTAGGTAAGATAAAATGGTGGGTTGGTTAGCTGATGGGTTGGTARTTTTGGTAGTGGATTAGTTGGTTGGTTAGTTAACTGATTGTTTAGTGGGTAGGGCTGGTGGGTTGTTGAGTTGTTTGGTAGGCGGGTTGCTTGGTTGGTTAGTTTACCGATTTTTTAGTGGGTTGGTTGGTCGGTCGATTGGTTTGTAGGTTGGTGGGTTGGTGAGTTTAGGATTTGTAAGTTGGTGTGGGTTTCTTGGTTGGTTAATTTATTGTTTAGCTGTTTATTTTAGTTGGTGAATTTAATGGTTGTTTTGTTAGTTGATTAGTTGCATGCATGGCTTTGGTTGTTTGTTGCCTGGTTGATTGGCTTTGACGATACACCTAATTGAAAAAACGTAGTCGTGTTCGAAAAGGTCACATCATTGAAGCTAAGACCGAAAGGGATTTTGAGTACCACTAAATTGGGATTACATTTGCATATACGGTGTACACTAAGCAATTAGAGCTAGTAAGATTAACAGCATGCTAGTCTTTTATGCTGGAGAGCTGTTTGTTATGAAATTAGCCAAATTGTTTGTCTTCCCAAGTACCCTTTCGGTCTTAGCTTCTATGATTTGACCGTTTTGGGCCCGACAAACATTCTTCAATTAGGTGTAAATCGATTGATTACAATTGATATAATTGACACATCAATGCATTATTTTGTTCCAGAAAAGTCCCAAGCTCCAACAAGAAAAATGAAGGTAGCAAACATCTATATCATTCAACTTGGAGTTAAAAAAGAAGATAAATCATTAATACTCTTTTTTTCTATAGGGTTATTTGACAGCGATCTACCGTCAAAGGTAAAAGATCTCCACGATACTACAACGCAACAATATCACAATACTTTATCCTTTTTCTTACAGAAATGTAGTTGCAATACAGAACTAATGACACTCGTTGGTAAGTTATTATCCCCTCTCCTTGCCATATATTCATGAATGATTTAAGTTTTCACACAAAAACATTTTCTGTTTTTTTTTTAGTCCGAGATAGTAATAGCATCAGCAAAACYCTTGCGTGTCCAGAACACAGCAGTGAAGAGGAGCTGCAYCATAACCAAAAYGAAAAAAGAAGTTCTCATTACCGTCCGCTTAAATTTGTGGAATCTGAAGTAAGTATAATGCAACAGTTATGTAAAAAGATAAATTTAACACAGTAAAAAAGTATGTGGAATAACTTACTGACGTTTCGGATGTTAATCCTTCGTTTCCTCTTTACTCCGACGAAGGATTAACATCCGAAACGTCAGTAAGTTATTCCACATACTTTTTTACGGTGTTAAATTTATCTTTTTACATAACTGTTTCTTTAGAAACACCGACGAAGCTCACACTAGTTTACCGCTAGTTCCCACCATTTAAGTATAATGCAGTATAGATATAATGGTAATTGTAAAAATACGAGATAATAAGCCGAGAGAACAAGCCGAGTTGCGCTCAAAAGCATTATGTCATTTACCAAAAGCTACACTAGAGTTTTACAACTGATTGTTACAATGACTTTGTGATTGTGTTGTCAGGTCAGACAAATCATCCCAACATCAGTACAACGACTTTCAAGTATAAGTGACGATGAGTTTACTAACAATGACAAAAGAAGACTTTTAAGACAAGATTCTTCACAGTCTAATGTACAAACTCCAGAAAGAATAAAGCGCACTTTAGCACCAAAAGATGCAATTTTGCACTTGGAAAATGAGGAAGATGAAGATACGTACGAAGTTATGGATACAAAAATGGTTCCTCGAGAAATTCAAAAACCGAGAACTAACAAAGGAAAAGGAAGCAGTAAAGTAACTGGGTGTATAAATCAATCTTTCCAAGACGATAAGAGATTATCAATCTATGAAACAGTGGAAGATTGCAAGAACTCGCACCAAGATGTTTCCG